GAGCCATTTTAAAGGTTCAAAATACAAATCAGAAATCACGTGATAACTGTTAAAAAATTATAAAAGCATAGATAATTAGAGTTTTAACAGTTGACTTTTAACCACACCCTAAGTCCCTAAAACATTCATTTTGTATTAGTATAAAAAGGTTTGGATTGTATGTAATTGTCCAGTTCCTTCACAAACAGTTGAGAATCAATGGTGCTCCCCAACTTATAATGAGGATTCTTAATCACATACTCAACGTATATCTTAGTATAAATGTGCTGCAGAGTCTCCTGCAGGTCCCCCGCCTTGTGATCAGTATTAAGAATAAACTTAGTACCCGTCGGGGTCTCGTAAATATGAAGCTTGTATTTATCAGTGGAATAACCAATGAAACCATCTCTAGTACTGACGGGGGAAAGGCGGGAGAGGAGGGACTTTAAGGAATAGACCATGCCATATAGTAGCTTCCTCTCCTCTTCTGGTGATATCCCGCACTCCTTCACTTTAGCCCACTGCCTGTAGAAGAGGCAGGAGCAGTTTCTATCAAAAATGTACAAGTTATAGACGACCATTTTAAATGGGTGTGGCTGAAAGTGACCACGCCTATTTAAATATTTAACCCTTTGATTCCCTCTTTGATTGATTCTTTCTCTTCCCACGAGGTTTACTTTCAAGGTAAGGATCATTCTCCATCTTTCCTTTTGCAAGCTTTAAAATAATATAAAACCATTACTCTCTTCATATTTTAGATGACCAATAGGCTGACGTACCGCAGGAGGCTCTCCTACAACACAAAATCAAACAGGAGGAGAGTGTAAGACAGAAACATTAAATTAAAATTAATGATACTAAAAATGCATTACTTTACAGTTCAAAGACCCCAGGTGGTAGGCTAGTCTACCTCTATCCAGGCAAGAGAGGTAATCCAGCAAAATGTGGTGACTGTAAAGAAAAATTAAGAGGGGTACGTTAAGCGATGTGGTTCCTCCTCTTTTTTTATAATTGTGTTACAGGTTCCTGCTGTACGGCCTAAGAAACTAATGTCCATGTCAAGGCCTAAGAAGACGGTTAATCGTACTTATGGCGGATCCAGGTGTCACAGATGTGTTAGGGAAAGGTGAGTTTGAACATGCTTGGTTATATTTGGGCAGGGTGGGTAGATTTATAAAAAAAAGTATCAAATTTGTGACACGTACTATTCCTGCCTGTTTTCTTCTTTACTAAAATGGTTACATGAATAGGATTAAGTTTGTACTGCTTTTCAAATTTTTGTCAGATCTTTTTGTCTTCTTTTACACTCTTTTTTTCCCACTCTCTCTCACAAAGAATTGTCAGGGCATTTCTCATAGAAGAACAGAAGATTGTTGCAAGAGCTGTCAAAATGCAGCAGCAAGCAAAAAAGAAGAAATAGACACGGACACTGTAATTTTATAAATGTGATTGAAAACCAATAAATTATGAAAATCACTATTTGAAAGACTCTCAAGTCCATTTGATACCATAATTATAGCGAAGGATCATTCTCTCTTTTTGGCAATCTGCAAATTGTTTGATTCGTGTAGTTTCTTTTAAAAATTAAATTATATTTAGCACACATAAATACATTAAAAATTTGTGAATCTCAATTCATATCACGAAGGTTCCGGAACGTGGAAAGTTTTTCGTATCTTTGCCGGGTCTTTCCCTTTAATTAGATCAGCCACACGAGCACAGAGCAAGTCCATCAGTCTCTTAACGTCTAAGTAATTGGCGGCCTGAAATGATATAAAAAAACAAGACAGTGAGAACAGAATTTCATTCATATTGGACATCATATTCAATCATAGGGCTCTATAAGCCCATCCAAAAATTGTGTATACTAATAAAAATGCCATATGTGTATAATTGTCAGTTAAATGGCATTTTAGTTAAATAGCTAGAAATCTTACTCATATCATTGTGGGTTGCTCTACATTCATTTCCTGTACCACACCCACTTTGTATAGAGCTAGCTCTGCACTATCATGCATGAGTATTGGACATCAAATTTATTATATTTATCTATTGTATACCGTATAGCGGGTTTCTTCCGTTTGGTCAAACTTTCGTTCTTTTCGTTCTCCAAGCTCCAAAAACGAAAATTAAACCCACAAAATTTACTGTGGGAGAGCTCGATCCGGAGTTCATCAACACTAAAACATGCACACGTGGGTGTTATGGGTGGGGTTGTTGGGTGTGGCTTAATTCTTGCAGATCAGAAGGACAAAAATAAAACCCACGAAATTGGATTTCCTCCTAGAAAACGAAAGTTTGGCCGAACGAAAGAAACCCGCTATACGGTATACATTGCTTTGCTTGCTTAGTCTCACCCCCCAGTTAATGTTTTACAACTGTCTAGTTTACCATTATTCATTATACGTAGAACTCTACTTAACGACAGACAAAACTCCAAAAGCACCAACATTGTGATATATACATGTAGCTCCTCTTAATTCAGTATTACTTACTAAGTCAGTAATACTTAGTGAGAACAGAATTTCATTTGTAATGCATCATTATTCAATTCTTATAGGGCTCTATAATAAGCCCATCCAAAAATTGTATTTGTACTATTATCACTTTAGTCAAAAGGATGGAAGACACTGCAATGATATTAGTTAAATAGCTATAAATCTTACTCATATCATTGTGGGTTGCTCTATATTCATTTCCTGTACCACACCCACTTCATAATAGATCTCATGCATGAGTATTGACAATATAACATCAAAATTTATTGTATAAAAAGTATCTAAAGACATATACATTGCTTTGCTTGCTTAGTCTTGCCCACTTAATGTTTTACATTCGTCTAATTATTATTACCATTAAGACATCCAAGAGCTCTACTTCATGGCAGACAAAAGTATCAATATTGTACAAGATGATTTATTGTCAAGGAATTAATATTGGCGATTGGCGGTTCTATAAAGAAATCGCCAATATAAAATCTGTCATTTTGTTTCAATCTGAGCATGCTTAATGGCACGTGGCACAAAATCACTAATTTAATATTCGCCAATTTCATTCCACAGGCAAATCCACTAAATATTTCTCCCACCAATAAATCATCTTGTATGGCATATTGTAGCTGCTCTTAATTCAGTATTCCTTACTAATAATAAATCGTATAAATCCTCTCTGTTCCTCTCAAGGAAATCCTTCTCCCATGCGGTAGGGACCACGTCAGGAGGTGGGAACTGAGGCTGACGTCTCTTCGGTACTTTAGGCCTCACCACAGGCTGCACAGGTACTTCGCTGTTTATCGGAGAACTGGGCGGAGCCTCGGCCGAAAATGAACATGTGGTCACGTGATGTTCAGACCAGGCTATCATTCTACCCAAGACACTCCCACTAACGTTGGGAAGGGGAATAGGCTCGACCAGCTCTTCTTTATCTCCAAGACCTTTCATTATAAAATTAGAAGTTAATATATGAATACATGGGTACATGAATTAAACCCAGCCCTTATTTTAGCAGCTATCGTAGAATTTTTTCATTTTTTGTACTAAGAAGAAGCTAATTAGTTGCCATTTACTTTCTATCATTGTTTCCAGGGCTCTAAATATCTTTGCCGTCTCTCTGCTGACCTCGTGTCTCTCCCCGTCCCCGCTGATGAGAATCAGCTTCCCACCCCCAGTCACCTTTGCAGGAGACGCCATCTTAAATGAGTATACAGAGCTGGGCGGAGGCTAGGCGGAGTTTTACGGAGAAAGCATGGCGGGGAGAGGAGAGCAAGAAGAACTTGCCAAGGCTCAATTCCTCTCTTTGAAGCCGCCATGCGTCTCACTGATGAGAGAGAAGACACTAAAAACTGTCCTCTCTTTGGAGGACGTGCTAAAATCACTCTCTCCCCTCTCTCCTTCTCTTTTAGAATATGTACTCTTTCCATTACAGATGACACTGCAACAATCGATAGGGTGAGCTTATTCTTTTTATTTATTATTATTTTTGTATTTTTAGGAGTGATACTCATCTGGCTGAAGCCGTATTGAAATGCATTACGTTTCTTTTTAAATCGAGTCGAATCACGTCAGATAAACCTTTTTTCGAGTTGCTATCAATTTTTCTCGTCATGATCGACAAAGATGAGAAATCTCCTGCAGAACCACGCCTATCGCAATGTACAGCTGTTAATTTATTTATTATTAGTATTATTATTTCAGATAAAGGAGCTGCCTTTACTTCGGAGGAAATTCTTGAGAGACTTTTAGAAACTTTACAACATCTATTCATCAGGTCTGACCCCAGGTACGTCCCTTGTTGCCATGACAACCGTTGTCATAGTAACCATTCGTAACCCTTCTCCCCTAGTGTGTTGGAATCCTTTTATTCTAACGTGCTCATAGTTGGAAAGAGTGTTTCGCTGATTGTTGAGACGTTAAAAGATTCAAAGTCAATGAGTAGACAGTGTTTATTAAGAGGAGTTCATTGTCTTGTTGGAGTCACTCATGCTGATAGTGAAGGATGGATGGAGAGCATAGGTTTGTAACGTTAACTTTAAAATATATATACAATATATTTAAATATAATATTAGTCTTTCTTTTACATATAGCTTGAGCTTTTTTATAATGATTATTCTTGTCATTTCTTATCTTAATATACATGTACATGTACATACTTACCGTATTTCCTCGTGGAAACGCCTACTCCCTATAAACGCCCATGCCTGTATAAACGCCTAGAAACAGCATATAACTTTGACAATAAACGCCCATGCTTGTTTAGACGCCCATTCTTGATTAAAAGCCTATACCACACCCACCTACCCCATCCACGTGGTACGTGTACCTTACATAGTTTACATGGCAGCTGCAGCTGAGAAGGCTAAGGAAACTCAGAAGTTTGATGTCAGTTTTAAACTACGCGTTGTGTCTATTGAAACATGTTGGTAAGGATTATTTTTTGGTTATAAACGCCCACCTCGTATAAACGCCTACTTCATTTAAACGCCTGGCAAACAGGTCTCTATAAGAAATAAACGCCTAGGCGTTTCCACGAGGAAATACGGTAATGTCCCCCACAAAATTGCTTGATATTACAGTGTACATTTTCCCTTGAAAAAGAACAAACTTATTAACTTAAATATTAACATATAATCCTCTTTATTGTTGTACATGTATATTTTGTAGTCAGTGATTTTCCCAAGTTCTGTTCTGATACTCTTGGAGTTGGTAAGGGAGAGAAGATCTTATCATCGTTTCTTCCTGGAATATGTCTGACTTTAAGTGAACTCATCACATCTGACAATCGTATCGGACAAGTTAGACAATA